TTCCTTTGGAAAGTTGGGTACACTGTCCCAACCACATGTTCTGGTCTTTGTAAAAAATCTCTAACAAATGTGTGCCCAATATATCACCAGAGAGTGAATAAACCTACCATTTTTACATTGAACAAGCAGATTGTTATTCATTAATTTCTTCCAGATAACTCCTGTGACATGTGAAATATTTTCATTTCTAACGCACATCGGATACCAATTGTGTAGCTAAATGTCTCTCCAGTTCTAAGCAAACTGGACTGCACGCAATTGTAAGAAATCAAATACAGGTGCTGGCCAGTAAATTAGAATATCATCAAAAGGTTGAAAATATTTCAGTAATTCCATTCAAAACGTGAAACTTGTACATTATATTCATGCAATGCACACAGACCAATGTATTTCCAATGTTCATTACATTTAAATTTGATATTCATAAGTGACAACTAATGAAAACTCCAAATTTGGTATCTCAAAAAATTTGAATATTCTGAAAAGGCTGAATATAGAAGACACCTGCTGCCACTCTAATCAGCTGATTTACTCAAAACACCTGCAAAGGCCTTTAAAAGGTCCCTCAGTCTTGTTTTGAAGGCACCACAATCATGGGGAAGACTTCTGACTTAACAGCTGTCCAAAAGACAATCATTGACACCTTGCACAAGGAGGGCAAGACACAAAAGGTGATTGCTAAAGAAGCTGGCTGTTCGCAGAGCTCTGTGTCCAAGCACATTAACAGACAGGCGAAGGGACGGAAAAAATGTGGTAGAAAAAAAGTGTACAAGCTCTAGGGATAACCGCACCCTGCAGAGAATTGTGACGACAAACCCATTCAAAAATGTGGGGGAGATCCACAAAGAGTGGACTGCAGCTGGAGTCAGCGCTTCAAGAACCACCACGAGGAGACTCATGAAAGACATGGGATTCAGGTGTCGCATTCCGTGTGTCAAGCCACTCTTGAACAAGAAACAGCGCAAGAAGCGTCTCGCCTGGGCCAAGGACAAAAAGGACTGGACTGATGCTGAGTGGTCCAAAGTTATGTTTTCTGATGAAAGCAAGTTCTGCATTTCCTTTGGAAATCAAGGACCCAGAGTCTGGAGGAAGAGCGGAGAAGCACAGAATCCACGTTGCATGAGGTCCAGTGTAAAGTTTCCACCGTCAGTGATGGTGTGGGGTGCCATGTCATCTGCCGGTGTTGGCCCACTCTGTTTCCTGAGGTCCAGGGTCAATGCAGCCGTCTACCAGGAAGTTTTAGAGCACTTCATGCTTCCTGCTGCTGACCAACTTTATGGGGATGCAGACTTCACCTTTCAACAGGACTTGGCACCTGCACACAGTGCCAAAACCACCAGCACCTGGTTCAAGGACCATGGTATCCCTGTCCTTGATTGGCCAGCAAACTCGCCTGACCTTAACCCCATAGAAAATCTATGGGGTATTGTGAAGCGGAGGATGCAATACGCTAGACCCAACAATGCAGAGGAGCTGAAGACGACTATCAGAGCAACCTGGGCTCTCATAACACCTGAGCAGTGCCACAGACTGATCGAGTCCATGCCACGCCGCATTACTGCAGTTATTGAGGCAAAAGGAGCCCCGACTAAGTATTGAGTGCTATACATGCACATTCTTTTCATGTTCATTCTTTTCAGTTGGCCAACATTAGAGAAACAAACATTTTTTCATTGGCCTTTAGAATATTCTAATTTTCTGAGATACCAGATTTGATGTTTTCATTGGTTGTCACCTATAAATATCAAATTTAAATGTAATGAACATTGGAAATACATTGGTCTGTGTGCATTGCATGAATATAATGTACAAGTTTCACGTTTTGAATGGAATTACTGAAATATTTTCAACCTTTTGATGATATTCTAATTTACTGGCCAGCACCTGTATGGTAACATGCTTTGTTGAGAATCTAGTTGAGTTTATATATTGATGCTATTCACATTTTTTATTATGCAAAGCCTGTACCAACAAAGGCAAACAGCAGTTCATGAAATATTAATATTTATACAATCCATGTTGTAGTTTCTCCAGTCTCTGAGGGAATTTGTTGAAATCAATATTCAGTTAGTAAACCTCCCATGAATGTGATAGTTCAGCACAATCATGAAAACAGCTTACTATCAACAGTGACCTGTAAGATTCTCAGTCATCCAGGAGATCATAATCCTAAAAGGTTCTTCAAAAACGAAAAATTATTCCTTTGCTTTTTAAGAAACCTCAAATAAATTAACAGTAACATGCCTGCTGGATACAGATAAACATAGTAGTTTAAGTAATTACATAGCGTACTTTGGATTATTTCACTAAACCTGAAGTCCTGACTGTTTTTAAACACCTATACAATGCACGTTTTCCCCTCTTAACTTCAAAGCAACTCTGAGCATCTACAATGAACCTTTGGAAATCAGACAGCAGAAGCACGAGACAACAACAGAGTTAAAGAATCAGCAGTCCTGGATGGATGGAAATCAATACCAATAGGAGGACTGTTGCAGCTATTACAGGCCTATTACAGGGAACCCTGTGCTGCTGCCTGAAAAAGAGACACGGATGAGAAAAGATCATTCTCCACATGTGTTTGTGAGTCTAAGTTAAGACGACATGTGGCTGTTAGGCTTCAGAGCTTAATTTCCATTGACTTGGCACCTATTCCATCAAAGAGAGACTGGGGAGTAAACACACACACAAATGCTAGATGCAAACGTGTTGTTTCTGGAACTTCTTCAAATGCACAGCCAATCAATTGTTATTCCACAAATACTTGTAAAAGTGCCTCCGCACATACTCACGGCACAAACATGCTAGCATGAAGACGCACAGACACACACTGTCATAAAACTGAAGATGCACATGATGACATTATATAAACTGACACAAAAACACAGGATCACAGCTATCATTTAGTCTTTCACTCAACACACAGATGAACTCATTTCCAGAAAACAAGAAAGAAATGATGTCCTATAGCAGTATCACATGAAACAAATACCAGCATAAATGCAAAATGATGGCGTTGTATTCAGAAGGCCATTTCAAAATGCATTTCTGGTTTCTATTCAGGCTCTGTTGGTATGAGGGCAGCTGTCCATCTACTGGTCCTAACATCTAACCTCACTCTTCAATTGGACGGCCTGAACGGGGCTTGATAAAAGGTTTTCTTGAAATTTCCTCCATAAAGGACTGTGAAATACAAAAGAAATGGTTGCGGGCAATCGAGTGATTAAACCCAGAAAAACCAAAACGGTTTAACAAATGCATCGTGTTTGTGAATATAATAATGAAAAGTTTGCATGTTCTTAAGATGTTGTCTAATAATGAAAAGTGTTTGATTAGATTCTATTTAACACATACTTTTTAAGTTAATGGTTGTGTATTATTGCTGGCCTCCTGAATTATAAAGACAGAATTAAAACTGCAAACCAAGCAAAAATATTAATAAAAGAAAGATCAAGAGGAGAAATGTTGCAAAAGGGAGCATTAAAAATATCTTAACTGATAGCAATCTGGAGTGTTGAGTGTCCTTTTAATCATCCATTCTCTAATACGTCTGTGGCTTTTCATGTATCCTCTAATTAATCTGCCTGATCCCCACTGCCAAGGTGGAAACACAAGCAGGAGTCTTCCAGGTACTATGGACCTGTGAGATCACCTGGAAGTAATTAGCCACAAAGGGCTTGCTGAAGTCGCTCAATAGCTCTGAAGGGGCTGCTTCAGTTGGCTGAATCAGGCAATCAGCTGAACATATTGTTACTGAGGGAGGAGAAGGATCTTTCTTCACATGTTCTGGTTAAGCTGTACAGCCAATTCAGCCCCCAAACCCTCCAATTGCACATCTGTTCTTTTTCATTCTAGTTCCCACACATAAATTATTTCACTTTAACTATACACAAGTGTTTTATTTAAAACAAAAAGGAACATGGGTCAGATTTTAAAAGTGGTCCTGGTGTAACTCACTGACGACGCTGTTTAGTTAGTTTAAGGTGCCAACTCGTGTGCACATTGCCTCTGTTCCAATTCTGTTCAACAGAGCCCAATAAAAAAATACAACTAAGAGGAGCAGAAGAACCTTCAAAAGCATCCCAGCAGCAAGGAAGGAGGAGCAAACCAGTCAGTCATGACTGGACTGAAAGAAAAATGTCTGCGTTCCACTGAACTTTACTGCAGGAGGCTGCATCAGAATGTCAGGTCAGATGTCAAGGACCGAAGAGTCCCGCCAGCCATGCAAATATCACCAAAGAACATCCTGCATCACTTATAGACTTAGACAGTTTAACATGGGTTAACATTGGTTATGCAGCAAAGGGCAGTCAAAAGTAATGACACGAGCAGAAGAGAGCAGCTCAGATTCATTGATATCTGAATCTGGGTATTTTAAAATGTATCAGACTGAAAAATCTTCCACTGGTCTGGATGATGATTGTGCACTAGATGACAGTCAGGAAAGACGTAAAAACTGATTCATGACTTTCTACAAACAGTAGTTTCCAAATACACTGGATTCCAACAAGCTGATGCAGAGGTCCGAACCCAACATCATCAATCAGGAGTGCAGAGTTTGTAAAGGTCTCAAACTGGGAGTCACACCAATGTGTGAGCCTGAGTCTACACACTGATTAGAAACTTGCTTCAAGAGGAAATTAAAGCTTGTCTTACTGGCATTGAAAAGTACTTATCAAAGAAATCAAGAGTGTCGGCTCTACATTCCTGGCCCCAAGGAAATAAAATCCCTCTGCTGGGAAAACAGGAACTCTCCCCCGAGGTCGATTCTGTGTTGAAGATATATGGCCTCAAAAACTGATATCAAATATTAGTAAAGGGAAAAGGTATATGCAGCTCACAGTGGCTGCTCATTTATTTTTGTTTTGTTTTCCATGCAAAACCTATCTTGGGAAGGGTTTCCAATGAAGTGATTATTAAAGCAAAAATATATTGTTGATGTATTTTTGCAATTAAAAAGTATGGCCACGAAGGTTTGATTTTCAGTTTGTTTCTCTTACACGTGATGAAGACGAGGGCGGTGCGAACCAGCAGGTCAACGGTCTTCTCCCACCTCTCTGGAACGTTGGCCAGGATACGTGGAATTATGATTTCTGCTGGTACGTAGAACTGCAGGGCGAAAGTGATGAATATGCCAAAACAGTAGAGCAGTTTCACCACCTGGTACGTCCTGTAAACACAGTCAGAGGGAGTTAACACAAAAAGTGATCATGATCGAGCTTAAGCCTTCACGAAACAAATGCCGCCTGCCCTCAGCTCCCAGTTTCAAACAGATGCTGCTAATTACGGTCTTTGAGTTTTCAACCTCATTCCACTAATAAGCAACATGAGTCTAGTCACAGAAGACACTTGAGTAGACGTCTCTTTCCTGCAGCTTTGATGATAGCAATAAATAATGAGCCAGCAAATCCAATCTGACAATTTGGTTCTGCCATCTTTAAGCTTGAGCTTGTGAAGTTTGTTTCAACGTCAACGTGAGCAAAACCAATCAATTCATATTGTGATAGTTCACCAAACACTTTCAAAAGCCAGTATCTCACTGGGCTGTGACTGCAGGCAGCAAATCGAGAAAAACATTCATAAACAGGTCTGTAAAACATCTTGAAACATAAAAGTGCTCAGTTTCCTTGCATAAGTAGCAGGGATGATTGATTGATCGATCGATAAATCTATCGTGGAATGGGGCCGTGTTTTAATGAATGAACATCACAGTTGTGAATACACTGCAATTAGGAGAGGCTCATTTTCATCCATAGTCCCATATACATTCAAAATAAAAACACATAAAGTAACTATAGAAATAACACTGTGCCAGACATGATAAATTTATACACGATCGGGCCAAAATAAAAGTCTCCACATGGATTAAACTAAGCAATTAATATATGTATACAGATAAATCTAAACCAGTTTTACAAAAATATTAAAGTTAACTAAATGTAATGTCATAATTTAAATATGAATATGGATGTGTGGACCAATATTAAAAAGTTAATGACAACAATGGGGGGGGCGACAGCGACAGAGGAGTTAGGTCTTTGCCCCGTATTCAGAAGTTTACAGGTTTGATCCCTGCTAAGGCTATCATAGTTGTTGTGTCATTGGGAAAGACACTTAATCCACCTCGCCTGCTGGTGGTGGTCGGAGGGACCGGTGGTGCCAGTGCTCAGCAGCCTCGCTTCTGTCAGTGTGCCCCGGGGCAGCTGTGGCTACATTGTTGCTCATCCCCACCAGCGTGTGAATGACTGATTGTGATGTAAAGTGCCTTGGGGATTCTAGAACTCTAGAAGAGACAATATCAAATACAGGCCATTTACCAACCAACCATGCTTTTAGCTTACTAAGGAGTTGAAGTTGGAGCTTTCTCTCATGGTGACTGGCAATGTTCTCTAGCCTACTGCAGTGTTGCTGGAAGTAAATCAATATGGGCAACACGTTTCCTTTCTTAGTAGTTGCAAAGTACTTGCAGGGCTCTAGGAATTCCCTAATGCACTCATTACAAGAAATGGCCCCTACATCTTTAAATCTAAAACCAACATGCTTTGATGCTTTATTTATCGTCACCTTTTTCGCCCTATCTAATAAACAAACCCAAAAATATGTTTATATATTAAACACTTAAAACAAACTTGAATCTGTTTTATTTTCTGTTGTTCTGTTTTCTATTGTTCTGAAACAGTTTGCACATTGTTATTGTTTTGAGTTTGTTTTATATTTGAAGTTCAATAAATACTAATAGATTTATTTACTTATTTAACTTATATTGCACACAGTGAGTTTTCAGTTGTCTTTCACAATCAATGCGCTGTTAAAACGTATTAATATAGCGGCCTTAATAATTGGCTTTAGATACCGGCTATCAGCAACAAAATACTTTAAAAATTGGTATCTGCATCGGCCTTAAAAAAACATATCGGTCGGCCTCTAGTTGTAATGTCCTAAGATCAAAACATTTATGCTAGAATCTTACTTACTTTACAATGTTTTAAACAAAGACGAGGAAAAAAAGACAAAAAAGAATGACAAATATTTTTGAATCACAACTCGAAGTACTTACTTCACTGCTCAAGTCTCATGTTTTTACTAAATTTGTAAATTAACATCTCTCATCTGAATTTATTTACATTTGAGTAAAAAGCCCCTGAAACATAGCAATTTAAAATAAAATGATACTGGTTAAAACTCTTAGCCACAATGTTTATTTATTTATTTATTTTATTTTTTTATTTTCTGAAGACCTTGAACTATTTCTTCCCAAACAAAACCTGGTCGGGTGAAAGTGCTGTGTTGAATTTTACATTTACAGATACAACAAAGTCAGGTTGTTAGTACAAAAGAAGAACTCAAATTCATATGAAAACCTTGAGGAAAAACCAAAGCTGTTCTTCTGCAACAGCTCCTGTCAAATAGGACCCATCTGATCTGTGGTTGGATAAGGCTGAAAAAAAGCCTTGATCACATTAACTAATAGCTTTCCGGTAAATATTTCTGTGCACAACCAGCTTCCATATTTACTGTCAGCAAACAGGTTAAAAAAGACACTAATGCAGTGGATATTCTAGAGTTTACTATTAAAACAGGATTTGCAAACATATCAAATACTTCAAAGGATGGAAATGGAGAGGATAAAGGCTCGTCTTTGTTGTTTGTTTTGTTTAGATGTTGGTCTTGTTTGTGGAGCTATGATTTTGTGTTTATAAAATTGTGTGTAAGAGGGGTTTGGAAATCTATAAACCTACGCTTACCTTCCCCCTATTCAAAAAATTAAAATTCACCTAACCAGTAAGGATGGGACAAAACACTGATTTGGCAAAATATTGTAATATTTTAACTCACGAACAACTACCAGTACGCTCTTTCCCTATATTGTTTTTTTAACCACTACAGCAGAAGTCCATTAGGGGGTGCTCCTCGTGAGAATGAGCTAAAAAACACAGGCGACGAATAAAAACACAAGGAACAATGTTGGTGGAGTCGCAGCAGGGAAAGAAAAATTTTAAAACGATGAACGAGGAAGTTTCAAGTCTAAAGTTTGGCCTCACTTTCCCAGCCCTACTAACCAACTATGTAAATAAAAATATGGATTATTTATTTATGACAATTTTGGTTGATCATTATGAAAATGTGATGCTTTTCTGACAAAGCAACAAAATACAAGTAAAAGTTAATTGAAACTTCATTTAAAAATTCCCTTTTTGGTTGGTGGTAAAAGTCCTACTTTGCGGATTGTAAAACAAGCAAGTGCTGCCATGTTTACGTTACAGTATAGCTGCACTTTTGTTAATCAAATCCTTTGCTCCAGCTTTAGTAGAGCGAGGAAGAAAAACACTTGGCTTGAAGATATAATCTCACCAGCAGTTGGGTAGGTTCAGAGTGATGCTCCCACCAATGTGCTCGCCAAAGCAGAGATATCCTATGGTGCCGAGGCTGATGTAGAGGATGGTGACGATGCCCATACCCAAATACAGAACCTGGGGGAACTTCTGAGGCGTCTGCATCTTATTTTCCAGAGGAAGAACCTTTCAATGAAAAAACAGAAACTAGATGAATTGCATTTCTTAAAGAAATGCTGTTTGAATGCTGGATAGCTTAAACTGTTAGCTGAATCAGCTTAATAGCTCAACTGAAGCTGAAACTAAGCAAAACTGTCAAAATGGGCTGAATGCGTTGAAAGATGTAGAAGCAAAAATCACTAACAAGCAAATAAAGCACAAAAAGTAAGTGAAGAATGGAGAAAAATAACCCTAAATAGCAAAAAACTGAAATCTGTGAACAATGTATAAAAATCTGGACAGCTAAAATGTCTAAACACTTGTTAATTCAGTTGGACAAGTTTAACAGTTTAATCTTTACATTTAGCTGAACTGTGAAATTAGCAGCTTATGCTAAATTTGGTAACTGGTTGCTGAAAGAGCAAGTAACGTCTAAATTAACTTTTTTTGCTGATGAACTGTATAAATGGGTGTCAGTGTTTTAAATGTGTGTATTCATTATTTTAGCATTTTGGTGCATTTTCTTTAAAAATTAAAAATTCTGCCTACATACCACAGTATAGCTCCACCTTCAGCTTAAAACATAGAATTTGAGTCATTTTGAATAAATTTTAGCCAATGGCTAAAGAGTAAGATACTACGTAAACCAGTAGAGTACTACGTAGCAGCTCTGTGTCAAAGTTATAAAAGCATCGAGAGTCTCGGCCACGCCTTGTCGAGAGTTGGGAGTTGGATTTGCAAGCGAGCGTAGGAGGTTAGCAGTAGTTCAGCATTAGCATATAGCATTAGCATATCCTAGTCTTTAGCGTAGCTTTTAGTGTTATAAATACTTATTTAGTGTTAGTTTGGCTGTTGGATATTGTAGTTTAGTTAGTGTTTGGCTGTTAGTGTTATTAGGAAAGTAGTTCGGGTTTAGTGCTCTATATCGTGTTAGTATGGTGAGAAGGTGTAGTGTAGTATGGTTGCGGTGGCTCTGTGGGGTTGCACTCCTTTCCGCTGGACTTAGAAATTAGGCGCCAGTGATTGCGCGCAATCGGTGTCTGGAAAACATTCAGCTCCCACCTGGTGCTGTAGTTTGCAACCAGCATTTTACCCACGATTCTGCACGTCTCCGTTTGAAGAAGGAGGCCGTGCCCACCGTGGCTCTTCCGCGATTTAGATGCAGCCCACCGACTCTGCTCCCCCACCATGGTGGGCTCCAGTCTGAGGTGAGTAAGCTAAATAAAAGTTTTAACATCTTCTAAAGACAATTCCCTACCTAAATGCAAAGTCTGAGAGACGTGGTTCACTTCATTTAGCTAGTCTGTCGGTAATTCTGCAACAAAGGCTCTAACTGACGCAGCACTAGTTGACAGACAGCATTACAGCGTGAAATCCAGCTTGTGACCCGGTTCCGTGAGGAATTCTGTTCAGGAGGTCGCATTTCAGGCTCTCCACATCATATGTGACTGACTTTTACTTTATAACAACGATCACACACCAGGAATGTTATAAAGCGCCTATATAGGACAGTATCTTTTGTATATTATCTGACTTTATAAACTCCAACAACAATGTGCTTCTATTTTTTTTTTCAGGCTAAATCTACCCAAGACATTGGCTGTCAGACTGATTTAGCTGCAAGAATGCACTTGTCCAGGCTGACGTGAAGCCTTACCGGCGTAGCAAAGGTGAATTATTTCTTTGTAAACATTTTATTATCACCTTCTAGTTTTAATTTGTTTTACAGATTATTGTTACACGTGATTTTACGTGCTACTTCTTTGTTTATACATAGCCAGCCAGAATAGAGCTCAGAGCCTCAGTGTGTCTTGTGACACAGGGACCATGATGGAAATTCATCTTCCAGAAAGTCACAGAGCAGCGTCCATACCCCTGAAAAGACCAAGATGTGAGGTGCCTGCTGTTGATTCCAGCTTCCACCTCAGTGACAGTGCAAGCTCAGTGAACTGTTCAAGGTAAAAAATTAAAACATTTCAGAATTTTTAAGATATTAACAATGAAATAAGTATGTGATTACATCATGACATCATGAAGGAGGCTAATGATTCTGGCCCTGTGACACTTGGTGGTGACGTGTGAGCTGATTCACCTGGAAAACAACTTTTACATTAAATATTTTGTATTTGCTATCAAAAGGAAATTAACTAATAACCTGCATTATTGCAGGACACTCAGCAAAATATGGACTCTACAACATGAGGCAGGCACACGTTAATACTCTATAAGAGCACATAAGGTGAGCAACACCACATATTATTATTGTTATTACTGTACACTGTCCTGGATTAGTTTTCTTTCTGCATCTCATCATTAGCCTGGCTGATCATTAGCCTGGCTGATCACCTGATAACTCCTGTCATCTGGTTATGACAGCACAAGGACGTCCTCACACACCTGTCATCTGGTTATGACAGCATGAGGATGTCTTCACACACCTGTAACCTATCAGCTCATCTGGCAGAATAGAGAGAGAAGAGACAACACCACATCTCCTGTTCCTGGAAAGCCTTCAGCCATCCTTTGATGACTGAGAACCTCCATCAGCTCTGTCTCCTGTCTGCCTACAATTATTATAATAAATATTGTGTTTGACAAGTTTTTTGTGCTGCCAAATATCTCATTTAGATTCCAGTTTTGATATTTTAATGGATATTTATAAATTACATTAAGTGAATTATCACATTGTTGCATGTTTAACTAACTCTATTGTGATGAATTAAACTAGCACCTCACTGTTAAAAGCTCGTTTTAATTTCAAGCATGTTTAAGTATTTATGGACATGAACAAAAACAGGAAATATATAAATTGAGATTTATTTAATTAATATAACAAATAAGGGGGAAGGAGTTATTGAAAGGCACATTCTTCTGGAAGATCCTGATCCTGACGACACCAGAGACCAGCTGCAGTCACCAGAGGACCTAGAACCAAGAGAGCAGCTGTTATCAGTAAATAAATAAATCAGGGCAGTTTTAGTGAGCTAAACACATTACAGAATAATTTTCTCATGGGGTATTTTCATAACTTTATATGCAGCAGACCAACTTGAGCCCAGAGCTCCTGGAGAACTGCTATCCAGCAAGTTTCAGTGGTTTTCCTGCTTTAACGGGTTAGATTAGCTGTTAAGCAGCTCAGCTATTTGTTGCTGATTAAAACCAGGTGTGTTGAAGCAGATAAATCTCTAAAACATGCTGAATACTAGCTCTAGGGCCGTGGAGCCAAACCCTGCAGCTAATCCAATGCTATGGCTAACGGCTACTTACCATTCAGAGCTGGTTCTGTTGGGTCGGTTCCGCTAGTTTCAGGCAACTCACAAGCTCAAAACAATAAGGCTCAGGTCCGCTTGTCTCCTCCAAATAGACTTGGTCCCTTTCTTCTCGAGTGTCTGGGTAAGGAGGGGGAGAAACGTCCTCCACTTCTAATAACTGCTCAGAGTGAAGGGAGCTAGCATCGTCTAGTTAGCCATTGTCTTCGTCACTGCCGCGGCTCCGCCCTCTCGGTCCTCCAGGCAACGCCTAGTAATGTTGCAGTTTTTAAAATTGATACGTGCGTGGAGAAGGACTCCGAGGCACGCTTGACCTGCTCTTGAAGTTATTGAATAGCTGAAGTGAAGCTATTCAACAAGTATTGAGTGCATAACTTAGGGCTGGGCGATATGACGATTTTAGACCATTTTACGATCTACACATCTGACGGTCTGTCATTTTTGAGAGACCTTTTATCACGATTCACAGCTCTGCTGTTGAAATTCTGCCTCTGAATGAAAAGGGAACTTACCTCAGGTGAATGACACGCCTTTTTTTGACCCTTAACCAATCAGAGTGAGTCATAGTAATATATTAGTGCCCTGCTTGTTTTCACCTGTGTGTGAACAAACATGGCTTCGGCCGCAGCTGAGAGTGACAACTAGGTTTTCGTTCCGAAGAGGAACGCCTCGTCCATTATATGGAACTGGTTTGGTTTTTCACCAGATGACAAAGAGCAGCGAAACGTCATTTGCAAGGAGAGCGTCAAGGCAAGTGATGGCAACACCACAAACTTGTTTAATCACTTGAAAAGAAGGCATCCCAAACAATACAATGAGAGCCAGCTGGCAGCTAAATCTAAAAAGCCTGCAGCTGCAGCAGCTAGTACTTCTTCCAGGCAGCAAACGCTAACAAAACTCACTCCTTACGACAGAGACAGCAGACGATGGAACAGCGTGACAGATGCAGTGACGTACCACTTGGTTAAAGATTTGTGTCCCGTGCGAACAGTAGGAGTGGGATTTAAGAACATGATAAAAACATTGGATCCGCGCTACGAGTTTTCCAGCCGCAAGTATTTTTCGAACACCGCCATTCCACGCATGTACGCTGAATGCTAAGTGAGAGTTGTAGAGAATATTCAGAAAGTGCAGTTATTTGCTACCACAAGCGATCTCTGGTCCAGCCACACATCAGAGCCGTATTTGAGCTTAACTATCCACTACATGAGCAACTGGGAGCTACATAGTATTTTGAACAAGTTAATGTTTGCACAATACGTTTGCAATTGACATGTTTGCACTTTAAATATGTTTACGATTTTCATTTATGTTAAGTTACTTGAAAAACGAGAAAAACTGATTTTTGTAATTGTTTCTCTCAGGGCTTTTATCATCTTTGGTGTGAGTTTAAAATATAAGTGTGTTAGCACTGTGTTGATTATCCTTAATATGAATAAATGTTTATTTATTCAATGTTTCATTTCTTTAATACGCAATTGAAGTTATGCTATTCATGGATAAAAAATCGTGATAAAATCGAAATCCTGATAAAATATTGGAAAAATCGTGATATTCTATTTTTGCCATATCGCCCAGCCCTAGCATAACTGAACATAATTATTTGAAGGTTGACTTTTTTTGTATTAAAAACATTTTCTTTTTATTGTTCGGATGAAATATGCTAATTTTTTGAGATAGGAATTTTGGGTTTTCATGAGCTGTATGCCAAAATCATCAATATTAGAAACAATAAAAGGCTTGAACTACTTCAGTTGTGTGTAATGAATCTAATATATATGAAAGTCTATTGTTTATCAGTACATTACAGAAAATAATGAACTTTATCACAATACAAATGTTGCTATACAAATTTTTTGAGAAGGACCTGTATATGTCTATAGAAGTGTGGTGCGATAGAAAATAAATGGGTCTATAAAAACTTCGATATAAAGTTTCCTTTCTTTTATCATCATAGCCTGTCAGGTAGCATAATACTAGACTCCCAACCAATCAACAACACAGATCCAAGCATGCTCAATCACCAAGCTCTCCAGTCTCAAACCTAAACAGAGAGCACGTGACTTAAACAAGACGCAGCAGCAAGGAAAAGCAGAGTATATTGTCCCAAAAGAATATTTTGGTTTTACAAGTCCTTTGAATCAATATGGATTATTTTTTATCTATATGCTTTTTTCTAAACTGTCCAGCCCTACTGTGGAGTAAACATAGCCTCTGACTGAAGTCATCTCTGTCTGAGGAGCGCATGCACACAAGCACTCGTTTGTGATTTACTGTGCCCCTACACTACTGGTCACAGGCTTTGGTCCTCAGGTCAAATACTCTTCTTGGGTCCTAAGTCCCATTTTAAGACCAAAGCAGACATGTCTTTTCAGGCTGTGGCTCCAAAATATTGGAATGCTCTGTTAACATCCATCCGTGAAACTGACTGTCGACTCTTCTATAAAGCAGCTGATGAAATTCATATTTAGACAAGCTTTTGTTAACGGACTCCTGTTTAATGTGTTCTGTTGCCTTTTTTTTAAACTGTATATAGTTTTTGTTTGCTCTTTGTGAAGCACTTTGTAATTTTATCTGTGAAAGGTGCTACAGAAATGTGAGAACGGCTTTGTGACACAGCTGTAGTTTTGTCAAACCATTATAAGGAAATAGCTCACCACTCTAAGCAGTGGATTTGGTTTTCTGTAACCCAGCTCCTCTCACTTACTTTTTACAAAAGTCTCTTCTTCTCAGGCTCTGATCTCTTGATTTCAGCTCCTAAACATTACAAAAAAACTAACCTGGTACTGACATTTCAGCTAAAGTCCAAGCCTCTCTTGTTCTGAACTCGTGGTGTTGAGCAGACTTGCATTCACCCGAGCACGCTGAGAGGAGTCAAATGAATACTAATGAAGACTTTTATTTTGTCTACAGCTCCTGCAAAACTATGTGATCAGTATGCCTTAAAAAGAAAAGATAAACACAACGTTCGACCTGTAATTTTGTACTCTGGGACAGTGAGGCAGCATTGCAACCCATTTGACTCCAGTTTTAAAACAATGCCTTGACAGGGGAGTGTGTTATTGTCATCCCTAAACATAATAACAAAGCACTGAAACACAGGCAGGGTTACCCATGAGAGGCTGAGGATGCTCTATCTAGATTAAACATGATTGCTTAAGAACATTTTTGTCACAAACAGTTAGGGGCCATGCAAGATCTGTCAGCAAGTTTAAAACATGCAATACACATGCGCACAGCTTATAGGTAAAGCATCATTTAACCAGTGAAGGAACTTAATTATAATATACCAAGACATGCTATACAATAATCATCGAACTTATTTAGCGCTTTATTAGGACACTCAAAGACGCTTGCGTGAACTTTTACATTCACACACTGCCAGTGATGGTAAGCTACTATGTAGTCACAGCCACCCTGGGGCGGTCTGACAGAGGCGAGGCTGCCATTTGGCGCCGTCGGCCCCTTTGACCACCACCAGCACAGGCAAGTTGGGTGAAGTGTCTTGCCCAAGGACACAACAGCAGAATACCTCTGATGGGAGCTGGAATCGAACCCATGACCCTTCGATCATGAAGCAACCCGCTCTACCACCTGAGCTACTGCTGCCCCTTGTATGAACCATACAACAGTGAGACTTGTCATTAACAATTTCCATTCTGTTCTCAATCAGCCATCACGCATATTACAAAAAAATACAAATCCAGTCTTATGAAGTATTTCTTGATCGCAACAGATCTTTTAGATTTACAGTCTGGGTCACACCCTCATACATCTAATCCAAATAGCTATTCCCACACAAAAGAGGCTAATAAATCCAATGACTCCTCAGGGGTAAGGAGGAGGGGTATTCATTGGTAGTTTCTGCTTGTTAAGCAACAATAGACGCAGAATTGACAAAAGATGAGAAGTATCTTCAAGAAACCAAAGAAGTCTAGTTGCCTTCTTTAGAACCCAGTGTTTCCCCTACATAGGCTCAGGCGTGGCCAAGCCCCCACAATGTGGCTTAAAAATTGAGGCCAACCCGGAAGTACCAAAAGTTGCAGTTCCACCCTCATCCGCTGGGGGCTGGTGTCAGAAGCGAGCAAATCCTCATTGACTCCCATGTTAAAAATACCAATTTCACAGCAGAAATAAACATGTTTACAGCCTGGTACCAAACCATGTTCTTTGTTTAAATGATCTAGTTTACACTCATGACAGCTCTGAGGGGGGTGAATTTTTTTCTCACTCTTCTGTTTAAGTGTATTAAAAGCCTAAAATTCTGTATAATTAATGAGCATCAGACCCACGTGACCACAGAGCTAGCTCCGTGGAAAGGCCTCAGTCTGAGCCTCGGTCTGGCTTGGAAACTGTTCCGGGATTTTGAGTCTCTGTGTTTGTTTATTCTTTTTTGGATATTATTTTGTGCAATTGTTGGACAAAATGACTTGCTGTGGCATTAATTGCACTAATAGAGCATCCAAGGAGTCTTCACTTCATTTTTTTTGGTAAGTAAAATTATGTTTATGTATTTTAGGTCACTGCTGAGCTGAGCTTAGATTTTAACATGTACTGTTTAACCATGAAATTTAAATGTAATAGGGTAAAACCCAGTGCATTTAACATAATGCTGCACTTTAGAAAATGGGTTGAAATATAACATGTTTTTGGAGCTGGGTTGCGACTATCCGCTTGTGGAGCTCTCGGGAGACCGATGTTTTCCACCCATTTCTCCCCTCCCCACAGCCCGGCACATCTCTGTCTGATCGCGGCTTCTGTTTGCGACGCGGGCTGCCGGCCGGCTTGTGGTTCTCCCCTCCCCGCAGCTCGGCGCATCTCTGTCTGATCGCGGCTTCTGTCTGCTGCGCGGCTGCCGGCTTTCAGCAGCTTTTGGGAGACCTCTGTGTTCCACCCGGTTTTACCCAGCGGTCAGCCCGGCGTATCTCTGACTCAGAAGCTCTGGTGTTGTGCAGTTAACTCCGGTTGTAGCTAGGTTGCTATATCTGTTAGCTTAGCTCCCACCTCCGCGTTAGCTTTGGGTTAGCTTCAGGTTAGCTTGTAGCTAGTTCGACTGGGTGTCGTCAGTTGATCCCAGCCTTACAGCCCTACCCTAAGCTCCACCTCTCTTCCCTTTTGTGGAATTGTCTGGGCTTGACGGAACATGTGACACGGTCAAAATGGTCCCATTTTAGCTCAAAAACTTATTATTGGAGCCTATGGAAACCCATTGTCCAATATTTACATGTCGATGGGCGTGGCCCTGCGCCACGGCTGAATTTCCTGCACCACGAGGTGACCACTCGCCAAAACGGTCCGTGCACCCCCCCCCCCCCCCCCCCAACTAATGTGTTAGAAAACTATATTAACTTTTACTAAAACTCTAAAATTTAGCATGAGACAGTTTTATGCTGTTTGTTTCCACCAGGTTACTGCACATATGCCACTATTGCCTCTGTATCCCTCTGCCTGATTATCCATGCCTTTCAAGTTCTCTGGAATTAGATTCCAATATCAAAGATGACCTGCCTCTTCTCAGAGATTTAAGGTGTTATCTATATGAAACTGAATATACAGCTGGTCAGGTGGGGTGACACAGCAGCAACAGAACTTCTGGCTGTTTCTATAAAGAATGGACAAAAATATGACAAAACACAGCATTTTTGAACATCAGTTTGCAATCACAAAATCCATTTCTGCCTTGCTCACAGGTGAAGTTTGCTAAATACAGAAAAAATAATCCCAAACAAGCATGTGGATGAAAGCCTCAAACTCATAAAGAGGTAAACAGGAGATGGTAATAGTTTGAGAGCTCTACTGTTGAAAGAAAACATTTCAAGTCTGTTGTGTTCCTGTTGATTTCTTAAGACTTTTCTTTGATGTCACTTACCACTCCAATTCCTTCAAAGGCAAAAATGGCCGTCCCAAAAAACAGAGGGTAGTCCTTTGCTCTGCCGGCCTTAGGTAGGTTGATGGGGTACGTGATGTGCTATAAAGAAAAAGCATTGCATTAAGTGTGTCAGGTCAGTTGGTGTTATAATACAAAGGCTGAACTGTTGTGGTTAAATACCAGAAAACTGTTTCTTATCTAACTAAATCAAATCGGCAGGCGAAAGGTTCTCTCCACAGATTATGGTCAATCACATTAAATGAGACCTTGCATAAAGAGGACATCCTCCCACCTCGGGCTTCCTGAACTAATTTTCTGGCCAAAGCGGGCAAATTACAATAGCTTGTAGCAATTATTTAACATAATCACAGTCCTTTGTTAGTAGCTGGGAAATAAGCAGTATATAAGTGGAGCTGTCATTACTTGCTGAATAAACCCAGCTGGGAGAATGAAGGACAATGTGAGCTATTAAACATGTTCTCTTCTGCATCAACATAGATGTTCAAAGAAGGCCTTCCTGTGACATGGTAGCTTTTAATCTAAACTTACCAGAAAACAGAAAAGAGTTGCAATAAGAGATATAATTCTTGCTTATGAGGCTACTTTTACAAATACAAGTAAAAGGTCCAACCCCCTTTTTTTCCAGGCATTCCCCCCTTTGAGCCACACCTCCAGAATACAGAAACGTGCAATGCTTGTTCCAAAAGGTTCTGTTTACCATTTTAGTTAAACCTATTGTTGGCACCTTTTCTGCCATAATTCCAAATGTGACGCACCTGTGTAACCATATAACAACTTAGTAGAATACTTAATATAGAGTGATGTTTTCATGGTGAAAAATTAAGCCGTTTTTAGCTTTCTTGGTTAATCCAGAACGTCAAAAATCACAGCAGCTCAGCGCCACCAACAACCTGGGAAAACCCAGAAACAATAGGTCAAAACTTCCAGAGCCCACACCAAATTTCCTCAGACTGAAGGCTAGGCACACCGGAGACAGATGGGCCGCACCATCATTTTAAATAGAAGCCATAAATGTGAGTGGCTACACGGGGAGCGCTGCGCTGAAGATAGGCGCCAGTTCTATTCAAGCGCAGTTGTTCACAACATTGTGGAATACTTTACAAAAGACATTATGGCACAGAACGGCTTCACGGCACAAACCCAGCCACAGTTTGGATAACTTTAAAGAGCAAATTGCAAGTTAGAGACTCCCATGAACCAATGTTTGGAGAAACATAATAGAAACTCATTTAAAACATTTTTTACACATACATAAATCATTTAGGCTTTTAGTCATTTTTGTGAGAATTTTTTTTTTTTTTGCCAAACCAAGTGACGTCAGCTGAGGAAGTCCTGTTAGCTTAATCCAGAGAAAAAATGGATTCCAATGCCAGCTCTGACACAGAGGAAACGTTAAATGTTTATAATTATACTTCTGATGGACCAAAACCATAAAGTTATGATTTTGCTGAACGCCCCAGAGAGCAGAGACAAGCCAGAAGGAGAAACCATCGGCCAAAGCAGAGAGATGTGAGGAGAAGCAGCGGGGGAGCAGCAGGTGAGTTAAAGATGTTAGCTTAAACTCATGTGCCAACATCATAATATTGTACAGATTACTATCATGTACCAGACAATTAAAAAAGTATCGGGTAGTTAATATAATATTAATACTAATGAGCGTCTGTCAGCTGTCTCATACTCGTTAATATCCGTTCACGTAAAGCAGTTTAGCGCTTAGAGAGAGGGAGAGACACTCCTGTGATCCAGTTCTGGTGCTCATGTGGGCTTCTGTGAGCCAGACACCAGAGAACCAGTGGAGCGGGTATTTTTAAAAGCTGCACATGATCTTTTCCTGGAGGTCTGCGGTGGTTCTGATCTGATTCCAACCCAGAAACCTGCTCGACTGGCCCACCGAGCCGCGGACAGACTGGAATTGGTACAGCCTTCACAGACTAGTTTATCAAAATGAACACCCTAAAACTAGCCACTCTCCACACTGAGCTGAGGCAGTGCCTAGGGTCTAACACTCTTTGGTTATGTCAGAGGTTCAGATTGAGAAAAAATGAGCCTTTTTAGAAGCTTTGCTGAGAAAGGCCACTTATTACTCGAAAAACTCTGCTGTTAAGTGTTTTAAAACGAAATATCCACAATAAGCATTTCAAATAGTATTTTTGGACAGCATTTTATATGATTTAGAAAAAAATGTAACCTGCAATTTTCTCTTTAAAGTACTATTGATCTTAAAATATTCTCATAAATAGTGTACTTACCCATTTTTAATGAATTAAGAGTCTCACAATTTAATTGTGTGTTTGTTTTGCTGGACTTCCTGTCTGTATTAAAGTTCTATTCTATTTACAAAACACAACAGTAAGTCTGATCACGTATAAACAAAAGAGTCACGTCCCGCTTCCTGTTCTCAAGTCCCACGTGATGTTGTGACTATGACGTGACTGTGCGACGACTTGACTTCTCAAAGCTGTGGGCGTGACACGGCACATTGTGTCTGCCTCCAGTTTGCCCCAATCTTTACTCTTCCCACACAGGTGCGTTGTCATGGCAATAAATTGATCCACAGCTCTGCCAGCTGACAGAGGACAGTTTGTGTTCACGGACAACAGAGCCGTCACCTAAATATTTCCCAACAAGAACAGAACCGGGCTCTAAAAAGAACAATAAAAACAAGTCTTTAAATTAAATTTGCAAACAGAACAGAACATTCTATCTGTTACACTAAACAGTCCAGCTCCGGCTTCTCTTCCCGTTTGTGTTTCATGCGCACGGAGGGTTATGCGAAGAACGGAGTGATGTGGTCAGAGGAGTGGGTTGATGAATTGTTTATAATCCAATCTTTAAGAACAGGGCGTTCACACCGATAGCTGGTACATTACGGTGTTACAATGTCGTTGTGAGCCTGTGTGTGTGTGTGTGTGTGTGTGTGTGTGTGTGTGTGTGTGTGTGTGTGTGTGTGTGTGTGTGTGTGTGTGTGTGTGTGTGTGTGTGTGTGTGTGTGTGTGTGTGTGTGTGTGTGTGTGTGTGTGTGTGTGTGTGTGTGTGTATTTGTTCACAGCTCCTCCCTCTCGGTCTGCTCGGCAATAGCATTTGTTGCATTTTTCAAACAGGAAGTGGTAGTGGAGTAAAGCCTGATACCGGAGGCGGACGCGCCATGCTGCATCGCGCAGGACAGTTTAAGAATTCAAGTGGTCACACAGGACGCGCAGCGCTTCTTGGAAAGTCGCGTGATAGTCACAACATCACTCAGGACAGGAGAGCAGGAAACGCTTGAGATAGAACTAGGGATGCACCGATGGATCGGCATTTGATAGTAATCGACCGATAGCGCCCCTATCGGTTTTGATCGGAATTTTCAAAATAGATCAAAGCAGACGTAGGGTTGTCACGGTAACCAGTGTAGCGGTAAACCCCCGTAAAAAAAAGTTGACAATAATAATAACCGTCTTGTTTTTTAAAAAACTATATTATCTTGGTGGGTTTACCGTGGCTGCGGTGTAGGCGCGGTGACCCTTACCAGCCACCGTATCATCTGCTGAAGTTGCCGGCGGCACATGCACGCTTTGTTGTTTACAACCAAAACTTTCTTGAAGCTAAAGCTGAAATAATGGTCAAAGGAGGAGACGGCAGCGCTCAGGAGGACATTTTTTTATCCCTCAAAGAAGACAAAGTGGGAAGTACGGGCATATTTTAGATATTTGAAGAATGCCGAGGGAGTTTATAGAAGACGGATGGCTATCCTGTTTGCAGCATGCGCAGAAAAAGTGTCTGTGAAAGGCAGCAACGCTTCAAATCTCATGACACATCTGCGTGACCATCACCCACAACTCTACAGTCAACGCAAGGCAAGCTAACGTTAGCGTTTTAGCTAAAATGCGTGATCCGACGGTTTGGGTTGAGGGAGAATGCAGCGAGTCGCTATATAAAGCAGCCGCAGCGCCGCTACATGCATATAAACCGTGTCGCGGACACCACCATGTTGAAATGACGCTATGCATTATGGGGCTCCCAGGGGCAGATAAGAGCTGGTCTCTCTCCGAGAATAATTATGAATTTAACAATGATTACTGCCTGATGACATTTTCCCACATCTGCAAAGCTCACTGGAAGGACACAAACCGAGGACAATATTTTCCTGATATAGGGATTATTACTCAAGTAAGGGTAAAAAAGTATCTGATTAGAAGGCTACTTGAGTACGGAGTATCATCTGATCTAATATTTTTAAATGATGACATCAAACAGACATGAAATAAGAAGTTATGGGCAAATATTGGTATTTTAAAGACTAAAGGGAAAAATGTAAACAAATAAACAACATAATTACAAAATAACACATTTTAGGCAAAATGTAGACACAAACTGAGGACAATATTTCCTGACATACAGGGTTTAATTGTGTGAAAATGTAGCACGTTTAAAAAAAATACCGCGATAATACCGAAAACCGTGGTAATTTTGGTCACAATAAACGTGAGGTTAAATTTTCACACCGTGACAACCTTAATACAGACCATTTTAGATTAGGTTACATTTCCTTTATTCCCAGATTATGTAGTTTGTACCACTCATTATAATGTTGTAGAAAATTTCTGGCCAATCCACGTGATCCGTATCGGTGATCAGCATTCTTTGATATCGGTATCGGTGATCGGCAGCAAAAAACCTGATCGGTGCATCCCTAGATAGAACTACCGCCTATCGTCAGCGTGGCGTTCCCCGTGTGCCCACTCTCATTAACTACAATGGCTTTTATTTAAAATGATGGTGCGGCGCGGTGTATCCGCCTTCGGTGTGCCCCAGGCTTAAGACTCTGGTAGGGGTGACTTGCTGAAAAATAAATGACAGTAAAACCTGTGAGGCGTGCCTAATAAACCTAAAACTTGCAAACTGTTCAGTAAAACTTTAGAGAGAGTCGAAGCATGTGAAATAACCAAGAAACTAAACCCTTGTTGTTTTAAAAGGCTCAGAATCTGTATACTCTGGTTGTCTTTGCTCTGCTCATTCATCAGCCACAGAAACACCTTACGGGTCACATATCTTCCTACTAAATCTTTCTAAGGTTTCCGACGCAAGAAACTCCTCCT